TCAGACACTAAAGCCTGAGCATTAGAGATATTCTTGGCTTGGGTCCAGACTTCTATCCTTAAATGGGCACTAGTGAATTGAAACTTTGAAATGTAAATAGAATAGGTTTTATTTTTTCCTGGTCAGCTTATAACCGCTGTGCTATGGCCTCCTTCCAATTCCTGTGTCTTTACTTATCACGAAGAAGAGCTGGTTACAAAATTATCATTTAAGGAAACCAAACTGTAGGATTTCTGACAAAGACCCCAATCAATTCTTCACCTTTGCCTTTGGCAAATTTCTTGTGAACATTTTTGATGGAACTCAAGCCAGGTTCAGGTCACCTGAACTAATTTATGAGTACAATATATATGTACAGTTCCCAAAACAGTTGGAACTCAAAAATAAGGGTAGAATTTATTCTGGGGCTCATTAGTTCAGGACTCATTCATTCATTACATGCTTATTGAGGGCTTACCCTGTATTAAGCATTGTATGGAGTTCTAAGTAATAAAAGACATGATGACCCTTGAGAACAGGAAAAGAAATAATTATGTCACGTGACCCTAGGTAATTAACTACTTCTCTTGACACAAGTTTCCTCATCTGTAAAATGAGAGGGGTTGGAACAGATGACCTTTCAGGCACCACTCAGCTCTAAATCTATGTTCTTGAGATCCTTCCCCACCCAATCATGATATGGTCTTCTGAAGATAATGTTCTACCCAGAGATAATGTTTACTACTCAGAGTGCTATGTGTATGATATTAGTAATAAGAGCTTTAGAAGGGAAAGCAAAAGTCACTTTTGGCTAAGGTGATTGGCAGAAATTTCCTCAAGGAAGTATCATATTTGATAGAGACGAGTATGAAGGAGAACTCTTGCTAGTACATTTGATATTTATAGCTAATTAACTCAAATGGTCTGAAGTTATACTTTTTTTTCTTTTCGGTGAGGCAATTGGGGTCAAGTGACTTGCCCAGGGTCACATAGCTAGTGTCAAGTGTCTGAGCTGGAGCTCTATCCACTGCGCCACCTACTTGCCCCCATGAAATTACTTTTTTCACTCTGTCCTTTGGGCTACTTATAAATAATACCACCAATAATAATAACCAGCATTTATATAGCATTTTGAGGTTATCTTACTCGATCCCCACAATAGCCATATGAAGTAGGTTCCCTTATTATCGCCACTTTACAGATGAGGAAACTGAGGCTAAGGAAAATTAAGTGACTTGCTCAAGGTCACACAGCTGGTAAATATCTGAGTAAATATCTTGTCTCTAAGTCTGCTCTCTATCCATTGTGCCACTAGCTGCTCTATAACCCAACAAACTCTTCTTTGCCTAGTTCTGGAATACTAGAAATAGCAAAGTCCAAGCTTCTTCATGGCTAAATTCTTCCTTGTTAAAAGGCGCATAGTTTCCAAGTCACTGGCATCTGTCTTTTAGATAAGACCACTTTTCTCAAAACAGCTAAATCAGCAAAGAAAATAAGATAAGCAATGTTTGAGAAAGAACTTGGCAAGGAGTTTTCCATGCAAAATGTCTTTTCAAAATGATAGACAACAGTAACTAAGTAGGAACTTAGATATAGAAATTCAAGGAAAATTATAACCATCCTAATTTTAGAAAGTTTTCTGAAAGCAATTCGCTTTCCAACTACAGTATAGAGTTACAGCTGTAGTTTGCCCATGCACATGTGAAGAATCCTGTACTTAAGTTTATTTTTTGCCAGTTCCAAAGGAGTCCATGCTTTCTAGTTAGAAAGACCCTGAAATTAATGTACCACATCAGATGTGAAGAATTCAGATCTTATCCTCCCTCATTCTGTCAGTAGATTAAGAACTCTAGAGCTATATAACTCTCTTCCACAAAAAAAGACAAGAATTTGAAAGCCACACCAGAAGTCGCTTAATAACACATCTGAGCTGTGAAGCAGGCCCTTTTCACTCAACTGAGATCTGGACGTAAGTGATGTGCGGAGGAGTTCAAGATGTCGAAAAGAAGACAATCCAAGTGGCGGTGGCTGGTTGAATTGGATGGAAATCAAATTGGTTAAATCACTAGCCCGGAAACTCTATTTAATCTATTTGGTTTTCTAGCCAAAGTGCACTCTTGTCATTTGATAGAAACTTAATACATATTCTTTCCAATCCAAGAGAGAGAGAAATAGGCTTCATTTTCAGTGTGAAGCAGTGATTCATTTTTATTCCCCCCCACTCCCACCCCCAGATGAATTTTGTAGCTACATAAAAACACAGAATGCTGATCTGGCATGTAGAGACATGTCTTTGTCCCCTTCAAGAGAGCTTTCACCAGAAAATTGGAGTGGAGTCTTGGTTTGCCTTGAGAATAAGATCACATCCAGTCTCATGATGCTCGTTTTATTCGGACTACATGGCCCCACAATTCTTGATTGTACTTTTGGCATTTCACATGCATGCATACATGCCCGTCTCAACCACCTTATAAACCTTGAAGTGTTATAGAAAGGTGTTATTATAAAAATTAGAATGATTTCACCAAAATATTCCAGATTCTCTTCTGCAGTATGTGCTTTGCTAAATTTTCTCTTCTATTACCTCCTACCCTCCTTAGCTCTGGAAATACTCACAAGGATTCCTCAAGGCATTGAAAATAGCATAGTTAAAATTCTTAAAGGGAGGGGTGTAGAGGAGTGTTTAGATTAATGGGAATGGGAGGATAAGGGAGGGATCCTTGGGAGGATAAGGGAGGGATCTTTAAGAGGGGAGGAGGAGGGAATAGGTCAATGGGGCAGGATACTGAAGGTTGTTTACATTTATGCAAATGGAAGCATAAGGGAGGGATTCTTGGAGAGGAGGTAGGTTAAGTAATAGGGCAAGGTAGCAGGTAGAAGTAAAGTAGAGGAGTCAGGAGAGATAGGAAATAAGAGATAAGCACAAACATAAAAGCAAAAATCAGGAGTAGAATTTGTTAGGGAAAATATATGTCTATACATGTATGTATGTATGTATGTGTGTATGTATGTGAATGTATATATCTATATATAAATATATCTGTGCTTAATTGTAGCCTTTGGGGGGGAGGAAAAAAGAATAAAGTAAAAAGTGCACAGCTGAGAACAAAAGAAAACTTATAAGGAAGTGAAGAAAAGATGGACAGTTTTCAACACAACCCGTAGTATTTATTATATAGGGTTTCTTGAAATGGAAAGTTATTGCTATATATTTTGAATCCTTTCTTACATTCTGCTGTACACATGACATGTTTTTTTTCTTTTCTTATTTTGTATTTAAGTTTCAATATTCAAGTTTACAGTGCATTTCTTTTTCTTTTCTCTGTTGTGTATTTGTTTCAGTATTTAAGTCTAAAATAAAAAAAAAATGAAAACAAGTTTCTTTCATTTCTCCTGACTTTCCCCTTTTTGCATTTCCCTCCTTGACTTGGTCTGCTCTATCCAGTCACCTATTAATAAACTTGACACAGAAAGAGGTAAGGGCTTGATGGTGTGCACCTACTTTCTATGTACAATAATGCTGTTCATTTCTGTAATCTCTCAACAAAGATTTTATTTCTAGAGAAAACAAATCTATACTTAGAACACTCTCCTTGAGCATCTCTTTGATGCTTAATGGGATTTCCTGAACATTGACCTGAGGTTTGAAGATTGGGATTTGGATTCCAGCTTTGCTGCTCGCTCTCTCTCTCTCTCTCTCTCTCTCTGACCTTGAGTACTTCAGCTCCACTCTTTGGCCTTTAATTTGTCATCTGACATGTGAGGGGCTTGGACTAGATGATCTCAAATGTACCTTTCAGCTTTCGATTCTATGGTCATTAATATTTATCTACCTGGAAAACAGGGAGAGATACAAATTCAAGAGAAAGGATATTCATGAACAAGTTAACCACGTCACAGTCATGGGGATAAGCCACAGGGGGTAAAAGATAATAGGTACTCTCAAAATTGACAAGCTGGAATGGACAGGTTGGTGGCAGGTAAACATGAAGGACTTTCCAAATAAAGGTTATTTTGAGTCTAGTGAAAACAATTCCTTAAAGAAAAACAATCATGGGACAGGGTCACAGCCTGAGAGAGAACAGGGGCTGTACAAACTAGGACTGGGGGTAGACAAACAAGCTGGGCAGCTATCTGAGACCCAGCACTAAGCAGGGTCCAAGGAGGGACATAAAGATTTTTTTATAAATGCACAAGGCAGTAATGTCGGAAATTTCAGCTCTCAGTGACACATGACATGTAGTAATTACAGTTCCATAGGTATGTTATTCTTAATATCATTTATTATGGAATCTATGTCTACAAATCTTATGTCATTAAAATTCAGTGCAACAAGCAACAAGTAACTGTTATGTATAATGCACTGGGAATATGAAGATAAACACAAAATAGTTCCTCCACTCAAAGATCTTAGTCTATTGGGCAAGGCCAGCGTTGGAAGAGGGATGGTAGAAGGAATAGAATGATATACAAAAAATACACTATGAGACAAATGGAAGAGAGAGAGAACACCAGGGACTTGGGGAAGCCAGGGAGAGCTGCATGGAGGAGGAGGCACCTGAGCTGAGTACTGAAGTTTCTGATAGGTCAAGATGGAGAGGGGTTTATCTCATTTGATCCCCACAATAACCCTGCATGTAATTGCTAGTATTATTCCCCTTTTAGAGATGAGGAAACTGAGGCTGAGAAATGTTAAGGGACATTTGCCCATCATCAGGCAGCTAGAATGTGCCTGAGGCAGGATTTAGACTCAGGTCTTCTTGACTTCAAGTCCAGACCTCTATTCACCATGTCACCCAGCTGCTCCTAAGCCCATGTGTCTAGGGGCCAGCTCCATCGCCTTTGCTAAAGGCAGAACAAAATCAGAAGTAGGTCCAGACCAAAATTCTTGTTTGTCAGATGGCTCCTATCTCTGACATTCTCTCTGGTCTCAGGGAGGGGCACTATGCCCTTAACAATCTACATTCACCATTAAAAGCAATGGAATAAAGACAATTAGGCTTGGCTCTTGATATACTTACAATACGAGGAGGTAGAAATGACAAAGTCAGGAAATCAGGAAGGGCAGCTGACTCAGAACAATTACACAGGGAGGAAACCCATACTGGAAGTTACGTAGTCCTAAAAGCATTGTGGGATTGTTCTAGAAGATATCTCAACACTGAAAGAATGGAAAAAAGTCAGAGATGATGTCATTTTGAGGACATCGATAACTACCCATTTTCTCGTCTTTATAGAATCTTTATGAGAAAAGGGTACATGTGTATTGAAGGTGCTCTTGAAGGAAATACGAGGAGGGAGCAGACGACCTTTTGTGAATAATCTTCTAAAGTAGACCCTACCTTTGCAGTCGCACATTTGATCGAAAGTTCTTGGGAGCATGAAGTCCTTTTGTGTTTGTTCTTGAAGTAAAAGACAACCTTGAAGATTATTCTCCAGCAAAAAAGGGGTCTCCAGCTTATATAAAGATCTTAGAAGATTCCCAGGTAAATGCAATCACAGAGAGAACTCTGTTCAACCAACTCTGATTGTTGGTGCTGTGACAAGCGTGCAAAAGGGAGCTGTATGTTTGTCAATGGTGTCTGTCACTGTCACAGAGGATATTTTGCACAGAGTCCAAATGGAAGAGAGATTCCATATAGACAGTGATGTCCCTCCCGTGTGCTCCTATTGGTAGGTGACACCATGTCATTCGTGTCAAGCCCCAGACATGACATTTCATGGTTCCTCAATGACATCATCAATCATAGATCTATGCAATCTATAATTTAAAAAAAAAAGATTTTAGCCTAAAAATCCACATAGGAAAAACCAAGTGGATGAAAAATGCCTTATTCAGATTATGGCACACAGATGGAAGACCAATTCATTGAGTTGTTGTTCAGTCACTTCAGTCATATCTGACTTTTCATGACCCCATAGATTTTTGGGGTTTTTTTTTGGCAAAGATATTGGAGTGGTTTGCCATTTCCTCCTCCAGCTCATTTTACAGACAAGGAAACTGAGGCAAACAGAATTAAGAGACTTGTTTGACGCCAGACTTGAACTCAGGTCATCCTGACTGTAACACCTACAGTTGATACCTCAGTATATACACCTAGGATAGAGACTGCCAATGGACAAAAAGCTGGGCCCAGAATTAAACAGACAGAAGAGTCAGCTGAATTGAATCTGAGAAATCACACCATTATTTTAATGATCCAAATCTGGTCCCTATTACCAAAATTCATCTTTCTAACAACAATATTCACCAGGTGACATATACATATTTGTGATTTTTAGAACATCATGATCTCTCAAGAATCAAAGTTGTAGCATATCTGCCTGCAGGACAGGCTCAATGGTGGGCATAATAAGTAGGCAGCAGCATATTTTCAGGGATTGATCCCCTAAACTCAAGAAGTTATATAAGGGATATTATCCAGGAAATTTTTTGGGGGGGGGAAGGATATAGGCAGGTCATGTGGTTATGTGGGATTAAAAGAGGGACATCCCAAGTATTCAACCAGTATCTATGAAATTAAAACAAAAAGACTTAAAGGAAGGCCACCAGCCTTTTTGTTGGGCAGACTCTTGGGAAAGATCTATGAATCATATGGGATGAGATGGCACAGAGAGATGGCATTCACCATGTAAATGAGATCATGGATACACCAAAGTGGATCAGAATCTCAACTGTGGCTGTATCACCCTTGATATTTGTGGAGCATACTCTAGGCACATCTAATTGTGTAAAATGGTGAGCTGAATTTACACATGCATATATTCAAACGCAGGGGAAAAATCCCTGCCCCTATTCCCCTCCCTTATGGATTGGAAGACAAATTTTAAAAATTCCTTTTTCTTGGGACTTGGATATTAGAAACTTAGATCCAGTCCAACACCCTCACTTTACTGGTGAGCAGGACTAGACCCATGTAGGTGGAACAATACATCTAAAGCCAAGCAGATAATACGTGGTGGAGTTTGAGTTTGAACTCTTGCCAGGCCCCAAAGCCTGGGTTCTTTCCACTAGAACAAGCTATCACCTCTGATCAGTTTGGGATCCCCCCAAAATAGCCACAAAGGAACATCTTTGACTACTCCAGTTCCGTCCCGCAGAATATTGCTATTATGATTTCACATCTCACCTTCATGATTATATCTTCATTCCTGGAGTATTGTAGAAGTCTCCTAATTGTCCTCCCTGGCTCAAATCTCTCTGAATTTCCAGTCTGTCCTGTGCACCACTCCCTGACTAAACTTCCTAAAACACCTCTTTCATCATAGGAGCATGGATTTAGAACCAGAAGTCACATTAGGTGTCATGGCACAAAGGGAGAAACTGAGGCCAAAAGGTTAAGAAGTTAAGTGACTTTTCTAGGGTTTCATAGCTAGAATGTGATAGAACTAGAATTTGAACCTGGGTTCCACTGATACCAAATCCAGTTCTTCTCCTCCTCCTCCTTCTCTTTCTCCTCTCTCTTCTTCTCTTTCTCCTTTTTCAAGGTCATCTAAGTGAGGATTTCTAGCAATAAAATTCAATTATTCTATACCTTCTTAATATATCTTTTGTTACTTCTTACAAAAACCCTCCACTCCAGCCATACTAATTCATTCCCTGTCTTCAGTAAGACCTGAATTCAAATCCTGCATCAGACACTTATTAATTGTATGACCCTGGGTAAGTCACTTAAGCGCTGTCAGTCTCAGTCTTTGCATCTGTAAAATGGGGATAGCAATAGCACCTCCCTCCCAGGGTTGTATCAAATGAGTTAACATATATAATGGGATTTGCAAGCCTTAAAGTATTATATGAATTTTAGTTATCATCATCATTATCACCATTATTCCCAATGCTATACTTTTGCATGTACCACGCCTGCTCCTTAGAATACTCTCCCCTGCCCCCATCTTCTCCACATATCCCAATCCTCCCCATTCTTTAAGGCTCTGCTCTTACTCCCTGAGGCCCACCCTAACCACTCCTTCCCACAAATGATTTTCTCCTCCTTTGACCTCATTGCCTAGCCTCTCATTTGGCACTTAGTCATCTGTAGCTTTTGTGCAAACCCTTAAAATAAGGGGTTGGACTAAAGGATCTTCAAAGTCCCTTCCTGCTTTCCATCGCTGGATCCTTTTCCCTTTGATTTTATCATTTATGAAGCACATGAGTGGCTATTTAATTTTTTATATATGTATTTCCTATCTCCCCTAACTAGAATGTAAATTTCAAAGGGCAGCAGGGGATTATCCATAGTACTATTCACATCCTTGGGGTTCAGCACTTTTTTTTTTGATGAATGAAAGAATATATTTTTAACTTTATTTTTAAAAGATAGGCCTTATTTAAAAAGAGTAAGGTACAAACATAGAGGTGACTGGATTTCAGGCATGGAGCCAGATGCCAGATGCTGCTGCTGCAATATCAGCCCTAGAAGCTGAGTTCAGAACTAGAAACGAGACCTCGCTTTTGAAACCATGGACCAGTCAAAGTGAGCCATCAGTGGCTGAGCTTATGGTCCTGGAAGATGAGACTAGCCACTACATGAAGTATTCTGGTGGAGTGCAAAGTGCTGAGCTTAGAGACGAGGAATCTATGTTGGAACCTTGGCTCTAATACTTAGTGGGGTAAGTAGGAGCAAGTCACCTGACTCCTGGGAGCCTTACTTTCCTCCTCTGCAAAATGAAAGGATGATTATACTTGCACTACTTATCTGTAGTGTAAAGGGCTTTGAGGATCCTATTTAAGAACCCTTATTGGCTCCCTATTGCCCCTAGAATGAAATCCAGTCTGTTTACCTTGGCATTCAAAGGCCTTCACAGTCCTACTCAAGGTTAACTTTTCAGGCTTATTATATATTATTCCTCCTAAAACCCTCTACCTTCTGGACAAGCTGGTCTACTTGCTGTTTTCTGAGCTTGGACTTCCATCTCCCACCTACACGCCTTTGCCTACACTGCAATCCATTCTCACCTCATCCCTTAGAAGCCCGAGCTTCCTTCTAGCATGTGTTCCTGTGTCTCCTTCCTACGGAAGACTCTGCTAGTCGTTAGTATCTGCTTTCTCCCTTGAAGTAATCTTTCCTCAAATGCTATAGTCCCTTAGAGCTTTATGACCACGTAAACTCCTTGAAGGCAGAGATTATTTGTTTTTGTCTCCTATGCCTAGTGCCTAGCACATAACAGACATTTGAGAAATTCTTACTGCATTAGCATGGATTATAGAAATGTTGAGTTATTATGGCAATACTAACATTTAAATAACGCTTTAAGGTTTACAAATATCTCATCTGAGCCTCATAACAATCCTGGGAGGCAGGGGCTATTATTTCCCCTTTTACATAGGAGGAAACTGAGGAAAACAGAGGCTGAGGTCCCACAGCTAGAAAGTGTCTGAGGCAGGATTTGAACTTGGGTCTTCCTGTCTCCAGGTCTAGCTCGTATTCATTGTACCACTTAGCTGCTATTATGACATGCTCTATTACCACAGACACATTTTATAAGCAAAACATTGACTCTTCGAAAACTGATGAGTTAACAATAATTCATATTTCTGCAGTGATTTGAGACCTAACCAAACCTTTTTTTTCCAACTGTGAGAATTTTTTTTTAAATGGCATGATTTTATTAATGGGGAAACTGAGGCCCAGAGATGTTAAATGTGTTGCCCAGGGTCACGTAGATAGAAAGTATCAGAGCCATGACTCAAATGCAAGTCCCAGCCTGTAAGTCTAGTGTTTGTTACAGTATGCTAGACTACCTCTCTGTCAAAGGAGACTTTACATTTCCTGTGATCTGTCACGGCTATGATTTGTGGTGCATTATCTCCAGTCCCCTACAGAGAAAAGGCAGATTGCTGTTTGGTGTCATTGAGCTTTTTATAGGTCACTACCAATGATTGTGCATGAAGAAAGCCTCTTTTCCTAACTTCAGAAAACAAGATTAACCCTGGACTGCAGAAGCCTTCCTTCTGCTGCTTTTCACAGAAGGGAGAGTGACCGGCATTCATCGAGGAAATGTAGAGTGCACAAAATATTAAAATATGTTTCAGAAATGCCATAGCCAGGACCATAAAGGGGAAACAGGTCGTGGGGATTTTGAGCAATGAAGAAGATGCTGATTTCCTCACAGCTCATCTGTAAATATTGCAAAGTTTCCCCTCACTCTCCATCATAATGTGTAGAAGCAGGCACACCTTCCTGGATCCTAATAGATGCCATTCTTAGTAGTACCTTGAGGTTGGTCAAATGCTTTTGTATACGTCATCTCATTTAAGCTCTAGAACAACCCTGGGAAAAAGACACTATCATTCTACCCCCTGCCCCATTTTGCAGATGACAAAACTGAGGCTCCATAGAGTTTTAAGCAACTTGCCTACGGCCACATAGCTTGAGTCCACAGCAGAATTGGAACCCAAGTCCTCTTGATGCTAAGCTGGGTGTTTTCTCCATTATGGCACATTACAAGGTTAGCAACTGACAGATCTAGAGATGAGATTCCAAGGGTGAGGAAGCTATAGCCTCCCACCTGTGGCCTCGAGGTTCCCCTCCCCTGAAGGGTTGCCAAATTAAGGGCTGGGAATCGCTGTTCAAGAATGTGTTGTTGTC